CTTAACTACAAATACTTATTCATTTATTTCTCCATTCACTGTGTTTATCCACTTTGTTCTTGGTTTACCTATCCTCCTTCTACCCTTCACCACCTCCATCTTCCATACTCTCCTAGCCTCCTCCTTCTACCCTTCACCACCTCCATCTTCCATACTCTCCTAGCCTCCTCCTTCACCACCTCCATCTTCCATGCTCTCCTAGCCTCCTCCTTCTACCCTTCACCACCTCCATCTTCCATGCTCTCCTAGCCAGTTCCTTCTCCTCTTGTTCGTTGTCTATGTCCTGCCTGAACCTCGTCCTTCTACCGTTTAGCTTTCTTCTAAACTGCTTCTTCATCCCAATTTCCTATCTCATCTCCGACAACCTATTTCTTTCCTCCCTTTTTACTCCATATATTTTTCGGACCCAGTTGTTCTCCTCGATCTGCCAGTTTCTCTCCTCCTCTCTACGTTAGTGTTACTCCTCCTTAAGTGCAGGTCAGTCTTGAGCGTCTTCATCTCTTCTCCTTTTCTGTTGTTGGTTTATTTATTTGTCCCGGGTAACAGCCTCTACTTTTTCTCTACGCTAATGTTTCTGTGCTCAAATCCTCCTCTTCACTTCCCTGCTTCAATTTCTTATTTGGTATCAGGTCGCAGTGTGTGTGTGTGTGTGTGTGTGTGTGTGTGTGTGTGTGTGTGTGTGTGTGTGTGTGTAGTTGTAAAGGGTCTCTTGACTGACTCTTACGCTATCTGTCTGAGCGTCAACTTCTATCTTATTCAAACTAATATTCAACTTTCAATGACATATAAATGAATGCAGTCTTATGGAGATGCTTCAACTCTCCTTAGACACTAAACAGACATCTTCATCTTTATACAGATAATACACAGCTGAGTGAGGTGCATCAATCATGGTTACCTTCAATGTTACTTATCAAAAACTAAAGATATATTAACAGTCGTAATATTCCAGAATTCAACATAATTTCTGATATCACCACAGACCATTACTTCAAGTCTTACCATGACACTTTGTTAAATATCTAGGATTACCGAATCGAACAACCCTAACCTAACCTAACTAAGATTTGGGTCTAACTGTAGTTACTAAATCATAAATTAAGGCTCCATCATATTACGAAATTTAAGGTCTCTCTCTCAAGTGTAGAAGCTGTATGGACAACTTAAGGGGGTTATATTCAACAGGATACAGCTACGCCGCTGAAAGAGGAAAGTGCGAGGGATAACTCATATAGTTAGAAGAGAGAGCCAGTATAACAGAGAATGGAAGAGTGAGAGGGATAACCCATCTACGCACACGGCTATTAAACTGGCGATAAAATACGGTCAATACCAAAGAGATAGAATGATAACTCCTCTATGGCAGTCCACTAAAGAGTTATAAAATGATCCCTTCTTTTCATTCGGATATATTTAGTACTTTTAAAAACTCAGGCACGTAATGAACGACTTCGAGTCACGCTGGAAAATCGAATGTTAGGAAGGGTAATTCATCCCCATCCGCTTGACACCAAAACACGTCATAGAAAACGGAGAAAACCCTGATGTTCACCCGGACAGTCCAGACCAGAGTACTGTGTCAGAAAATGAAAGCGTTTGAGGGGTAACATCTCTATCCACTCGTGCGAAATCTCTCTTATAAATTATAATCTCTGTGTTTCCAGCTATATATTCAAAATATTACTATAGTTTTTATTTATTGTTTACTTTTTGTTACTAAGAAAAGGTTACATTTCTTTGGTTTTAAAGTGATAACTAAAAAAAAACATGTAGTCCTGATTTGTGTTAGCTTTTTTTTTGTATTCATTTACCACCAACATTTCTTTTTACCTGTTTTCTATTAAATATCAAATACTCTCCATTTTCTTTTCAATAAGCTACATTACTATTTCATAACACTGTTCCTTCCCTTCCTCATATCTTCGTCATGTTACACCCACTTGTTTCAACACCGCTACAATCTCAAAGTGTCCAGCTACCTTCACTAACTTTCACATAACGTCACTAAGCGTCCTTAACACTTACAGAAAAAAATGATGACAACTCAGTATATTCTATGAGCCTTCCCCAGCACATCACTGTCTCCTCTTGCAACCCATCACCTCAGACTTTCCCTCCAATGTCTCATATGTGTTTACCTCTGTAACAAACGCTTCAGTAACACAAGAAACTGAACAATAAACGCTTCAGTAACACAAGAAACTAAACAATAAACGCTTCAGTAACACAAGAAACTAAACAATAAACTCTTCAGTAACACAAGAAACTAAACAATAAACGCTTCAGTAACACAAGAAACTAAACAATAAACGCTTCAGTAACACAAGAAACTAAACAATAAACGCTTCAGTAACACAAGAAACTAAACAGTAACACAAGAAACTAAACAATAAACGCTTCAGTAACACAAGAAACTAAACAATAAACTTCAGTAACACAAGAAACTAAACAATAAACACTTCAGTAACACAAGAAACTAAACAATAAACAGTAACACAAACACAAGAAACTAAACAATAAACGCTTCAGTAACACAAGAAACTAAACAATAAACAGTAACACAAGAAACTAAACAATAAACGCTTCAGTAACACAAGAAACTAAACAATAAACGCTTCAGTAACACAAGAAACTAAACAATAAACGCTTCAGTAACACAAGAAACTAAACAATAAACGCTTCAGTAACACAAGAAACTAAACAATAAACGCTTCAGTAACACAAGAAACTAAACAATAAACGCTTCAGTAACACAAGAAACTAAACAATAAACGCTTCAGTAACACAAGAAACTAAACAATAAACGCTTCAGTAACACAAGAAACTAAACAATAAACGCTTCAGTAACACAAGAAACTAAACAATAAACGCTTCAGTAACACAAGAAACTAAACAATAAACGCTTCAGTAACAAGAAACTAAACAATAAACGAAACTAAACAATAAACGCTTGTAAGAAACTAAACAATAAACGCTTCAGTAACACAAGAAACTAAACAATAAACTCTTCAGTAACACAAGAATCTAAACAATAAACGCTTCAGTAACACAAGAAACTAAACAATAAACTCTTCAGTAACACAAGAAACTAAACAATAAACGCTTCAGTAACACAAGAAACTAAACAATAAATGCTTCAGTAACACAAGAAACTAAACAATAAACTCTTCAGTAACACAAGAAACTAAACAATAAACTCTTCAGTAACACAAGAAACTAAACAATAAACGCTTCAGTAACACAAGAAACTAAACAATAAACTCTTCAGTAACACAAGAAACTAAACAATAAACGTAACACAAGAAACTAAACAATAAACGCTTCAGTAACACAAGAAACTAAACAATAAACGCTTCAGTAACACAAGAAACTAAGTAACACAAGAAACTAAACAATAAACGCTTCAGTAACACAAGAAACTAAACAATAAACGCTTCAGTAACACAAGAAACTAAACAATAAACGCTTCAGTAACACAAGAAACTAAACAATAAACTTTCAGTAACACAAGAAACTAACAATAAACGCTTCAGTAACACAAGAAACTAAACAATAAACGCTTCAGTAACACAAGAAACTAAACAATAAACGCTTCAGTAACACAAGAAACTAAACAATAAACGCTTCAGTAACACAAGAAACTAAACAATTCAGTAACACAAGAAACTAAACAATAAACTCTTCAGTAACACAAGAAACTAAACAATAAACTCTTCAGTAACACAAGAAACTAAACAATAAACGCTTCAGTAACACAAAAAACTAAACAATAAACGCTTCAGTAACACAAAAAACTAAACAATAAACTCTTCAGTAACACAAGAAACTAAACAATAAACGCTTCAGTAACACAAGAATCTAAACAATAAAAATACTAGAGATTTATACAAAAATAAGTAACTAGTCAGACAGTATCTCAAGCTGCAGTACATGTCGAGGGAACACAACACAGAAGGCGGCCACCACTACACGAGTACAATGTAAATGATCGATAATCTACAATACTTTTTCTGTATGAATTAGAACAAATGTGTTATTACTGTAAGGAAAGTTTAATAGCAATGGGTTCCATAAAGATTTCTACGCATATAACTTCCCCCAAACAGACCTCAGCGAACAATGGGTTTCTTTTTTTCTTTTTTTAACCCGTGTTTATAGAAAATAATGCAACAAATATAACACGCACGCACACATACATGCACACAAATGCTATCATCTCCACCATTACCATTGATACTATACCATTACTCTCTTTATCATCACTATCTAAATAATTTCTATGTACAATTTCAATTTCACACTCTGGACAGCAAACTTAAGACAAATAACGTAGTCTAACTTAACCTAACCAAGATCAGATGGTTTGAGAAATGACTCGTGTGTTTATATTATACGAAGATAACTTTAAATACATATTATAATAAACATAGTTTTTGTGTTTTAATTTCTACTAATATTTGTTTACCTCTCCTGGACTATGGTGTCTTACCGTGTCTTGTTAGTTACACGAAGCAACACAATAGTTATGGATATTCAGTCATTATGATAAACTTTTATAAAGGCCACAAGAAATTAAATCTTGTTTAAAGGAATATTTGTATTGTAAGAACTAAATTATTTTTATTGTCATCTTACTGTTCAGTCTTTTCTTCTCCTCCTCTGCACACAACTTGCGCAGTTTGCACGGAAAGTTTTAGCATTACGCTCCTGACCAGGAAATTTCCAGACTTTAGTGCGGTCCACAGACTCTAAGCTCCAAATGTGTCTTGTATATGAGCCCTTAAATACAATGAATGATAGCGGTGCTGCAGGCCACTGAAGGGGTGTACACCTGTGGCGTACTGACCACATTATATAATCTCTCTCTGTAATACTCTGTGATATAAGCATAAGGTAGTAGAGAATATAATATAGGACGTGGTGAAGGTAGAGGATTTTAATCATATCTATTTCTTTATATTCACACTTGGAACCTACACTAATGAAGCTTCTCCCGACAGGTGTGTACCACGAGCTGCGAGCAGCGGATCCTTGCTTCACCTGCACCTTCCAGTATTATCCCACGACACCTGACCACGCCTACGCTCACGTCCAGCCTACGACCACTACCACCTTCCACCAGCCCTGCCTGCCCACCAGCCAGTCCTACCTTCCCACCACCCGCCAGCAGCCCACTCAATCACCCTGCCTCCGGACGGGTCAACAACAGGCTTGTCTCGGATCCAGTCAACAGTCATGTCTCTCAACTAGTCAACAAGCCTGCCTCCCGGCCAGTCCACAATCGTGTCACCAGAGCAGTCACCAGTCTAGCCAGCAGACCAGCTACCCATCGAGTCACACCTTCACGCCGCTACACCTGCGACCCGTAGAAGAGACTGAGGCAGCGCACGACTTGCTGGAGCTGGCTCGATCCGCCCCCGCTTATACCTATCAGCCTCCAACCCCAGCTTCCTCTTGTGACTCTCTCGAGGCGCCCTCCACTAGCTACTCGGAGGCGACGGTATGTGACGGAAGTGAACCTCTGTACGAGGACAGCGAAGCAAGTCTCATTACAACACCCACACCTTCCCCGGCAGGTAGCAGTGACGCCGAAAATGTGGCTCCGACCTGCGCCCTCGGGCTGGATGATGGGCGGTCTCGAGTGCGGGTGGGGCGGAGTGAGGGTGTGCGGCTAGGACGCCACAAGCCGCGGTATACGTGCTCGGAGTGCGGGAAGCACTACGCCACCTCCTCTAACCTGTCGCGGCACAAGCAGACGCATCGCGACTTGGACTCTGGCAATGCGCGTCGTTGCCATGTGTGCGGGAAGGCGTACGTCAGCATGCCGGCACTTGCCATGCACGTGCTGACGCATAATTTGACGCACCGGTGCGGCGTCTGTGGCAAGGCCTTTTCCCGCCCCTGGCTATTACAAGGACACATGCGCTCCCACACCGGAGAGAAGCCCTTTGGATGTGCCCACTGCGGCAAGTCCTTCGCTGACCGATCCAATCTGCGCGCGCATATGCAGACACACTCTCAGCTCAAGAACTTCAGGTGTAAACGCTGCAACAAGTCCTTCGCTCTCAAGTCGTACCTCAACAAGCACTACGAGTCTGCGTGTTACCGGGACGGAGCGTGTGGCGAGATCTGCACCTCCCCCGGGCCCTGAACTAGGCCACGCACACCTGTAGACTTGTGTGTGGCCAGGCAACTGTACCTACTGTGGACCTAAATGGCCACAATTTGTACCCATGGTGGGCCGGGGCGTGGCCACTAACCTGTGACCTGTGGACCTGTAACTGGCCATGCCCCTTGGCCCACACGTGGACCTGTGACCTGAATTAAGACTTGGCAATAAGGTCGGGTTACCTGACAGGTAGATTAGCTGCTCTTCCACATAGCGTTACACGGTGCACTAGCATTTAACAGCGAAAAAACAAAGTGCTTTATTTTGCTCCTGTAAATTTATACTTTAATCCAATATTGTGATCCTCTGTGATTTTTATGTGGCATCATTTAGTACATAGTCATCACCAAAGCCGAGACCCCGAGCTGGTGATCCGTTGTCTCTGAGGCTTGACGAGCCACCCTGGCGGCTTCCGACACTCTCCAAGCTAGTAACAACTTGGTTTCTTGTTCATCAGGCTGCTACTGACGGTCACTGAAGCTTGTCAAGTCGATGCCAATATTTTCTGAAGCTTGACAAGATACAGACAGTTCAACACCTGATAAACTAATACCAGAAGGTTCACTAGCTGGCGAGGTTTGTGAGCTTGACGGGTAAGAGAGAGCAGCGGTTTCTCTAGGGTCGGGTTCGGTCACACGACGCGTTACAAAATCTGAACTCAAGCTCGTCTTTTTTATTCCAAGCTTCTTTTATTAGCTGCAGGTGACGCCATTATCTTTTGTGAAGTGAATTATACGACTTACTACAATCATTTATATTAACAAAATCCCAAAATAGCCTTTTAGTCGGGCTTTTTGTAGAAGCATAAAATGATTGTTTCTTTCACTTAAACACGAAACAAATTAGTTTGTAACAACATTAATTCACGGATCAAATGTATTAAAGGCTCATTAAAATGGTTTATAGACTTTTAAATGGCGAAGGATCAAATATGAAGCTCACAAGAAAAAAAATATTTGATTTAATTCTTGAGCTGTATTGTATAAAATTCTCGGAATCATTTTTTCAATAGCAACTACTAATCACAACTTGATTTACCTTGAACTATTGATGATCTTTACCATGAAGTAACATGTTAAATGATGAGAAACACACAGTGACCTTCCCCACCACAGCCACACAAACAGCGCCCACCACACACTATAGCTCAGTCATCAAACCTTCTCTCTGTTCATCTTGTTATAACTCTGACAGAATAAGTCATAGTAACACATGTATAATTATCAACAGCTAAAATAGAATAACTTTATGGTAGAGTAAAGATGATATTGTTAAGGCGTAGTAAAGCAATACATAGAGTGGCCGCTTAATACTGACCAGCAACAATTAATGATCATGATAAAAGAGACAATACATAATTCAAGACGTTTTAAGAGTTTGTGTGTCTGTCTTCTTCACTCGGTGTTACTGTACTGAGTGTGTGAATCTTGGCGTGACCAGAACAGCAGCGCCACGGTGGACAGATGCGGTCACTGGTACAAGTTAACGGCATCACGACGCACTTATAACAATATGGGCTGACCGAAGTGAGTGTGTGTGTGTGTGTGTGTGTGTGTGTGTGTGTTATTGACCGAGAATTATTTACAGGACTCTGGTAACCGAGAGTGGCACTATCAGGTGTCTATGGCACTCGGATTATCAAAAAGTATGTGGTACTGTGATTATAAATGTTGCACTGATTATCAAGTGTCTGTGACATCTCTGATTATCAAAAGTCTGTGATATTCTGATTATAAGCGATGCACAGGTTATCAAGTGTATGTGGCACTCTGATTATCAAAAGTCCGTGGCACTCTGATTATCAAAGTCTAAGCCAATCTGATCATTAAGTGCCTGTAACATCTCTGATTATCAATAGGTTGTGGCACAGAGACACTGACTGATTAATAATTAATTCACTAATTATCAAGATGACAGGGGCAGGCGAGCACAGGGTCGCGTCTACACAGTGTGGGCGGGCGTCTGGTGTTCTGTGTTGAGGTTGGTCACACACTTTCTCACTCTCACTTGGATGTCTAATATCTCCAAACACTACTTTAAAAGGATGAATTTTGGATTCTTAAGATCATCTGTCATAACAGGACTCATCTTAGCTGTCCGAAGTAGTTGTAAATTACTTTGTAAACAAATTACTTTGTAAAAAAACAGCTGCATTTCATATTGTTATACTGGCACTGTTTGAACTAGATCAAATATCCGTGATTAATGCCACTACAAAAGGTATTCGTTTGGAGTTTGAAGCACCCGGGAAGACAAATCCTCAAGCCTATTAGTCAATCATCGTTTTGTCGTTTCCTCATTGGTTACTTAATGGGTAACTTTCAACCAATTAGGCAGGAAAATTTAATTCCCTTGCTTTTGGTTGGTAAATGAATAAACGGATATATGTTTTAGTCAAAACTACAACGTTTTCGATGAATGCAGTAGAGTCATTTTGTTCCAAACGAACCTTAGTTGTAATAACATTGATCCTTTCAAGCAATAAGCATAGCAATACATATATTGTTACCGCATCATACCTAGAACTAGTAGGCTAAAACTAGAAGATAAAAAAAGGCAAACGTAGAATCTCCTTGATAAGTTGTAATCTAGAGTAATTATTTTTATACAATGAAAATTCGGTGTTTTGTGTTACCTCTGAATCAAGGCCGCTGGCGCCGCTTGTAAACAAAACATTCAGACCCTGACTGCCATGTTCCTTGGTCCAGACGGGGTGGCGTCCGCGTCACGCGCCCTCACCTCTCTCTAGCTACCCGCTGCTCCACTCTCTGACAACAGGCTACTCCTCTCTAAGATTTTTCTGGTTCTCTCTGTTCTTCACATCCTTTCTCCTTTCTTCCTTGTCAACATCATCATCATGGTCATTACTATCTTGTTCTCCAGTCCACCATTTCTTCCTCCTCTACTTCTCTTCCTCGAGGGAGATGAGGTTTCAATGAGGTCCTGCGAACCCTCTGTTACTCGTAAGTTACTGTTACTCCCCACACCACAAACGGGGAATTCAGTGTGTTTTTTAAAGCTATTTCTTTGTGGTTTTACTCACACGCAGATTCAACACTAGAGACGCACTTTTTTCTCTGTATTACTTACAATAGCGAGGTGGAAGTTGTTACTGTTTGTTTACTTTCTGTTATCATTATGTTGTGAGCATTTTACCCGGATGTGGGTTTGTTTAAGGGAGGGGGGGAGGGGGGGTTATTAGATATGTATTTACAGTGAGCGACTTAACTAACTCCTACATGGCACACAGATGGTTCATAATAGTGCTTACTTTGACTAACAACATGTAAACAGAGAAAGTGTTTATGAGTTACAAGTTTTCAATGATTTACCGTACGAGGATGAGGTGACTTGTGTTTGTGATATGGAGACGAGAAACAAAGATGAATCTGTGTGAGATGATTTAATGAGAAAGTAATACTTGATACAGTGGTATGTAAGGTTGTTAAGGAATATGAAAAAGGTTGTAATAGTGACAAGTTGTAAAAGTTGTAAACATTTTTGATTGTGTGTTTATGATCAAAGTTGAATTAGTAACAATGTTCAGACTGTTGTGGGTTTGAAGCAGCCATTATGATAAACTGTACTTAAATAAGCTTATCTGATAATATATACAGTAGAAGCATAACTTAAAAGATCTGTTATTTTTGGTGTGAAGGGTAAATTGTAAACATTCTCTCAGTTGTGTTTGTAATAAGGACACAATTTGCCAAGTTTTAAGAATAGGTTAACTGTACAGATATAATAGAAAACTAATCTTAATTTTTGTACTGTATAAAAAAACAAAAAACAAATGTGATTGAGAAAAACTGTGCAATTTAAGACTGCGTCCTGTCCTACTTATTATCTGTGGCGACAACATGGAACTTGTCACTCATAACGTCGCAGTGTTAATGTTTTTGTGCTAAATGGATATGAAAGATTAACTGATGATACTAATTCCGGAATACTTTTTTTAATAAGGTTTGTAAATACGGGGATAAATTAATAGCTGTAAACGGAAAGTCGTTCAGATCAAAACCTTGGTAGATTAAGTTTATATACTGACGATTAAAAACTGAATTCATACGAGATTATTTCCGAATTAAGTTTAACGTGTTCTATGTATACATAATTATTTCTTATTTGATGTCATTTAACTGTTTTGTAGAGGCAATCAACGAGAGATTAGTGGAGGTTGTAAATTGACTGTACTGTATTTTGGTGTCGTGTGGCGGGAAGTAAGAACGGTGAGCACACACACACACAAAACGGTCTATGGCGAGAAACGATAATGTCGCCGCCTCACAATTTTTATGCAATGGTGGTACAATGTGTTCGTAATGTTAAAATTGTAAAGACATTCTCTGTGAAAAAAAAAAAAAACTTTATTTGTGACTAAAGAAGCAGAAGTCAGGATAGTGGATTTGAATATATTTTTATCAGTAAGTTTGTTAATTTATGTTTCTGAGTCGGATTCATCTTGGTGTCTACGTTAAGTACGCCTAGTGTCTGAGGATGGAATATTGTTTCAAACTGGTTGACTATAACATCCAAAAAAAGGACCAAAATTACACCGATTTTTTTTTTTTTTTTTTTACTTGGCACCAGTTAGCAATAAATAAATAAAATAAGGTACAGAATGTTTAGGTAAATATCCTGTACAATTTGTCCGGTAATAAGTGAATCTGTTTCGTTAAAGAGTGAAAATTTGGGTGATTTGTGTGTGTGTGTGTGTGTGTGTGTTTTACGAGGAATGTTTATCGTAGGAACCTTAGTGACTCCTGACTCTGGGGCAATCAATCAGATTCTTTTTTTCTACCAAGTTACGCGTCTTGACTTTTAACTTCTGCTTCATCCGTTTTTTGGTTATCTTTGGTGAAATTATTTTTTTATGGTGAACTCCTGGAAATGTACCAAAATTATGTTAAGAAATTGTTGATTTTTTGTAATTTTTGGTAGTATTTAGTAATTTATTTATATATGTAAACTCCCCATCTACACACTGATACTATGAGAGAAAAATGCTTGCCTACATCACTAGTATAACTTAATAGCTAACATAACCGTTCGCATTTGACAACTAAAAATCTGTTGTTGTTTTTTTACTCAATATTACATAGTGTACATATCGGTTAAGAGAATGTTTTGATGTTTAGAAAGAAAGGAACACGACTTGGTTATCTAACTAAAAGCCAATTTAGACAATGATTTCTGCTGTAATAATGGCGCAACACTCGCGCCCCAACACTACTGTCCGTCTCACGATTCAAAGTAATAAAATCAACACCAACTTCTAATAAGATCTGCGCTGAACATAGATAACTAGTTAACAAAATAGCAATAATAGAATAATACTATTTACTCGTCCGTACATGTAGAATATTTCAAAATAAGAATGACTTATAACGCAGGAAACTGAATCGCAATAAACAATTTATTTTAGGCTCTACATACGAACGAATATGTGTAAAATAAACCTAACCTAACCTATCATTAACAATACAGATACGAATTAAGACAAAAACAAGGGACAAATTTTGATTACTATGAATTATGTTCAGAATTACGAAGAATAATGAATCATTTGTATTAATAATTAGTGAAGATAAGTTTGCCTCAAGTACTGAGGTTTTATATCCCTTGTTGATTTACTTTCATATATAACTTTTTTTGGTCAGTTGTAGCAGTCATAGGGGCATGAATGGTAGTCCTGTTAGAATGTTACTGAGAGCAAGTGCACGGCGAGGAATGTTACTGGGAGCTGGTGCACGGCGAGGAATGTTACTGGGACCTAGTGCACGGCGAGGAACAATAACCCTGGAAAGGCCCTGACAAAATTAGTGCGAATTAGATGACTGATGACTGGCACTGATCATTCTTCCATATACCAAGCTCCTCCCCTCACCAGTACCACCAGCACAGTCAGTATCTCCCATCATACTATAGACGTCAAATAATTAGTATTTTTTCAAGTTACAATAACATAAAAGGTGTATCGTATAGTTTTGTTATACAGTGACGAGTTGAAGGCAAGTATTTAATTCTCTCTCACTTCACTACATTACACTGAGCCCCACAATGTCTAAAGTACAGTCCCCTTCACTAGTGCGTTTACAGGGGCTCGTCAGGTTTTGTGCAGTGTGGCAGCGTTGTGTTTGTTTACATTCGACAGAAGGAAACTCGCAATAGTTAACATACTATGGAACCAAAGTAAAACAATATTAAAACAAATATCTCAATGTAATGATTTGTGGAATGTTTATATGACGAGCCCCTGTAAACGCGCTAGTGAAGGCGACTGTACATTATATAGTTGTTGGTTATTTTAATATAGAGTATCATTCCATTATATGTTTTCATGGTTTTTATAAGTTGTTTTTGTTGATCTCATTAGTTAACACATTCGGCGGTCACATATGAGGATTTATCAGATATTTTTTCTACAGTTTATTTTAGGTCACAAATAAAGCCGGTGAAGATTTATAGATACTGTATAATCGAGTGATATTTATTTATTTCCGATTTGTATATTTTCTATCTGATAATATGAATGTTTAATAACGATTGTATAATTGAATAGTTAAGGATGTTCGGGGGAGGAAGTGGCCTAGACAAGCTTCCGTGGATCGACCGGGATAAGCGAGTGGGTCAATGTTTCTTTCTTTTTCATTCATATATTTTTTTTTTCACTATGGAATATGAACTATGAATCAATAACTAACGAACTGGGGTGTGTTTCTTGAGCTCCCTAACGACTGATATATATCAAACTCTAAAGAAGAAGAAGACACTTTACCCTACAGTCTAGCGACGTCACAATGTTCTCAGGGCTAAGCACTCGTCAAAGCAGGGGGTCCTGTTGTTCCCGTGTACACATCTCGTGTATTCCGAATTTTTTTATTCTGTTCGGCAACTTTATCCTCAATGACAATCTTTTTTAAAGGTTTTACAAATATATGACTCAAGTCCACTGCAGGACAATTTTCTGATCTGCTTGTGTAAGAGAGCGAGGCTTGGTGGAGCTCCCGGTTCACGATGTCTAGTGACCTCTAGCCACCTCTTTGTGGCCTCTGTACAACCTCTGACGACCTCCGTACGACCTCTAGCCACCAATTTGTGCCCTCCGACGGCCTCACCGCAGCCAGCCGTCGGATAATTCCCGGCTGGTTGGTCGATAAAGAAAGTATCACGAACTGCTCAAGTCTGAACGACACAACAGGACCCGAATGTCTTTGGAAATATTCAACTCGTGATTGTGACTGATTGTCTTGCCGCTGACGGATTATTTCTTACCAATCTGACCATTACGAGAATTACTTATCTAATAAAAGAGGCTGGAGGCAAGGAGCGAAGAACTGTTGGGAAGACTAAGAGTGGTGTAGAGGCCGTGCGGGGCGTGGTCATACTTGATAAGGGGTACTGCCACCCACCAACAAAGATCTGACACTACGTCGCTAGCTTTATGCCTCTAGTAAGTTGCTTTTTACATAGCCAACTAGGATAGGATCTAGGTCTTAACCTTAGGGATCCATTAAGTCTTTTTTTCTCTTCATTACTGATTAACTTCATAGATACTGATAAGATTATGATGTACATAACTTTTATGATTGATATTTTATTCTTAAAGGAAACAATTTTGGGCTTTAAAATAATTTTCTGCTTCAAATGTTTTTCCACACAAAATAATGGAAATAAGCATTTGAAATGTTTCTCCTTTGGCATTACTTAACTAACTCACAATGACAACATTATAATATATATATATATATATATATATATATATATATATATATATATATATATATATATATATATATATATATATATATATATATATATATATATATATATATATATATATATATATATATATATATATATATATATATATATATATATATATATATATATATATATATATATATCTTCTGGTCTAGAGGAATAACAATGCCACAAACAAATTTTTCTACAGATAACGTCGTCGGCATTTCCATAGACTACACTCGTTTCCTTAACTTTCAATGTTGTTCAAAATGGAAATAACAACAAAGTAAACAATCTCGATGCTCTTATCAAAGGAGAAACACACTTTATTGTCACCAACTTCTGCCCAATTTTGTTGATCATTTCACACATGTAGGATTTGAGAGCTTTCTCCGCCGTACCATTGGAGTGATTGTAGAGGATTATATTTCTGAATAGCCAATCTCTATTATGACTGAGTAAACTTAGTTAGCAGAGCTCTAGAGCTTAGAAAGTGAGATGTATGAGATCCACCTGCAGAAAGCGGATACACTACCGTAGTTTGGACTAGATCTTTTATTAGAGCTGAACAGGTTTCATAGGGGATTTCTTGAGGCTTTAGATGCCGTAGTGCGATTCACATTTCTCATTAACAGTAGTAGTTCTTAGCAGCCAGTCACAAGCTGAGGGCGCTAGTGGTGGCCACTTACACGGTGCTGGACACAGAAGTTAGCTTATAGGATAAACTTCTTATCTCATAGGTGAGATAAAGAACAAGGAAAACTCTTATACTCTGCATGACGTTTATAGATCTCAGCTCTTTCTTCACACTATATACAAAGATCTTAAGCTATCAAGGGTTGGAATTTCGACTCGACGCCAGAACAAATAGAATAATGTTAGGAAGCTACACAAAGCGTACGATGTAAGATCACACCTTCTATAGTCGTTATGGAAGGGAATCCTATCCTATGGAAAATGCGTCCTTTTTTTATCTCGCTTTCCACTAACTAAAAAATATCTCTGTCAACCATTTCATCGTCCTGAGGTAATAAGGGGACGTCACCCTCGTCATGTCCTGAGAGCTACGAGAGTACTTTAAACTCCCTTATAGCTAATTAGGATTTTAATGACCAGAGGTAATTTATACGTAGCGTAATTATGTAATTATAGCTACTCCTTATAAAACAAATTCTTGATTTGTTTGTCAAGATAACCTGTTTAATATTCTGTCTTGAATCTCATATTTCACTTTTTCATTTTTGTAATAAATATATTTGTGATATGCAAAATTATGCAATATGTATGGCTTTATTCTTTATACATTTGTCATGTATAAAAGTAGAAACACTGATGATTGTTTCTGATTGTGATGCATAACTTGTGGACGAAGATGCTTGACAACGATAATTTACAAGTGCCTTTTGTTTCACGGACCATAGTGAAGGAGCGGAGAAGACAAGATAACCAAAAAAATGTGAGACAACAAAATGAAAACCAAAACACAAAAAGAAGAAAGACTATGAAATCAGTAAGAAATAAACAAAGATAATGGGATAAGAATGACAGTAAATTGAAATAAACGTGACATTGTACAAGTAACTAAGGAACGATTAGAATACTTGTTTATTTTGCTGCTCTGTCCTGATGATATTCTCACTGTACTGAAAATATACAGTAGTGCCAGTGAATATAAAAAAATCCATTTGTGTTAAACTTTAAATAATGAAAAAAAAATCAACAAATTTTCTGTAAATGATGCATACTATTAGCGAAGCACTTCTTAAACTATATACATAAAAAAAAAAAGGAAAAAAGACGATTTCATACATCTGCTAGACAAAGAACAGCTTCTCTTCCATCACAATTAACGGCAGTAGACGAAGCTCATGTAATTGGATTGTGTGTCGTAAGTTTGACTCTTGCTCTGGCAACATTCACAACATAATGCAATTGAGCCATGAACGCTGGTTATTTATTACAGTATTGCTATTTTGAATTAGTTTGTAAGGTATTGATGATACATGTAAGTCACTGGGTTTTGTTTTGTAAGGATATAGATGTATTGATGGTTGAGTTAGGAAACTGTACTATGTTGTAAGGAAGAGGGAGGAGGAGATGAGAAACAAGATTACTGTATAGGTTTAAGCTTGTTGGATTGTGAAACATTACTGCCATGTCTAATAGATAGATGGGTAACACTGAGAAACACTACTATGATGTAGACAGGTTGGAAAAAGGAATGGTACTGTGTGTGCGAGTTTTGTTAGGTGTGGGTGAGAGAGAAGCACTACAGCGCTTCAGTCTAGCTTGAACTGGCCAAGGTACGGCTGAGAAGCGCTAAAATAATATATATAAATATATATATATATAGGGGAGCCAAGTGTTGATCCTAGCACTGGGGAGAGTGAAGATTACTTTGCACTTTACCCATTTATAAGGTGCCCTTGAGGATGACTTGTCTTGCAAGCTTGTACACTTAAGTACAACGCACCCAACACAAACTTATCCAATCCAATACTGTATTTCGGCCTCCATGCATGATCCAACTCCTTTTTCGCAGTAAGACTATTGGACAAACTGCCCCAATAAGCAATAATTATTTATAGGCTGGACATGTGGCTGTATTACACTTGGCTCTCTTGGGTTTTTTTTTTCTTGTTTTTTTATTTGGTCTCTGCCAGATGATTAATTATGGGAATCACCTGTGTTAGATCACGTGTGGGGGTTGTCTCTAGCCTGGCTGGATGCTGTGCTGAGCCAGGTGATGGTGTCCTCTTGGCCAGATGTGGTGATATAGCAAGGAGAATGGCCGCTCTTGTGGGTGTTGTTGGGTCATATTTGCTTGTGTTTCACCTGCATATGAGGAGTTACACTTGAATAATCTCAACTATTTTCACTCTTCTTTGTTCCATCAATTACGTTTTTTTTTCTTTATAATATATCTTCTTAACTTAAAATTCATGTTCTTCACCAACCCCTCTTATTCTTTTTGCTATTCTTTTTTTTTATTTCTTCATTCTTTTTTCTTTCGTTATTTTTCTTCTCGTTCTCTCCTCTAATTCTTCTCCCTCTGCCTTTCATAAGTCGCCACAACCAACAGTTACCGCCCGTCAACACCCACGGCCGGGCCAGGGAATCCGACACGGTGTTATATGCCCAGGTGATTTCCTCCTCCCTGGCGAGAGGACCTTGTCACTCACTATAGCTACGACTTGCACGCTTCAACACTTACATTGAATTTAATCTAGCTTTATCCAGACTCATGCAATAAACATTTATTATTTTAGCAATAAACATATGTTTTATTCATCCTAAAAATAACGTTTCAGTGAAGAAGTCAGGCTGGATTCATAATGTTTAGATACTATTTTCAATGAGAAATATAAATAAGAGACACTTATAGAAACTGACGTACTCAAGTAGACATGTTTATCGTGAGAAAGATTAGAGGAAAATATTTGTGACTTCTCGCCTGGAGCTGCCATGGTGAGTGAGTACACTGCCATGACAAAGAAAGATAAAATTATAATTGAACAAACTCAATAAAGGAAGACATGTCAGCATTCTCTCTACCAATATCAACCAGCAGTGAATGTTATCGTTCTGACTTAGAATTCCCAGTGATTCCTAACTGGTACTGAGTGACCCCATCTAACTGGTTCTCTCAAGTCACGTCACAAGGTTAGCAGAAACAAGGGCGTAAAAAATAAAAAATAAAAAATAAAAAAATAAAAAAAAATAAAATAAAACAAATTATCTTAAGAATTTTTCTACCTTAGCTGAATGTGTTGCCTCATAGCTGTTCCTTGACCCAGCATACCTGTTCCTTGACCCAGTATACCTGTTCCTTGACCAATCATACCTGTTCCTTGACCCAGCATACCTGTTCCTTGACCAATCATACCTGTTCCTTGACCCAGTATACCTGTTCCTTGACCCAGTATACCTGTTCCTTGACCTATCATACCTGTTCCTTGACCCAGTATACCTGTTCCTTGACCAATCATACCTGTTCCTTGACCAATCATACCTGTTCCTTGACCCAGCATACCTGTTCCTTGACCCAGCATACCTGTTCCTTGACCCAGCATACCTGTTCCTTGACCCAATATACCTGTGCCTCGACCCAGCACACAGACAGACACTTCTACATTCGGTGTTCAGTACAATAGGCATAACTATGTGAAAATCAATGAAGCAAACTTTTATAGATAGGACAAATTTGTTCCTTTGTGTATATGGAAATATATTTAACAAACGCTTCCAATAAAAACCTAGTCAGTGTACCTCGTTGTGTGTGTGTGTGTGTGTTCATTAGCATATTGTGAGTTACGATACTGATTATTTAGCGTCTCCTCTGTGTACTATCTCCACCGTTTCTTAGCCATCCCGCTGGTCTTCCTCCTCCTCATCCTCTTCCTGATCCTCTTCCCCCTCCTGATCCTCCTCCTAATCCTCTTCCTCCTCCACTCCACACCCAACATGTAGAAAATAGATATGGCTTGAGGCAGATCACTGTACAGCAGAAGAGCATCTCAACAATGAAATAAGAAGCTCTTCAACTGGATCCCAAGAGATAAAAAAGACTCCAGGAAAGACCATGACTAAACCTGGAGAGCGTTAGGACAGGGACGGCTAAGACACATGAGGCAGCTCTTCAATGGACTCGGACTGTTAATAAAGATGATGTCATGTCTTAATTACCTTTCTGTTAACCTTTTTTTCTATATCATCGAACCAAGTCGTTAATAATTATCATCTGTTCCATTGTTGATATGTACAGTCTCCCCTTCACTAGTGCGTTTACAGAGGCTCGTTAGTTTTTGTGCAGTGAGGCAGCGATGTGTTTGTTTACATTCGACAGAAGGAAACTCACAATAGTAAAAATACTATGGAATCAAATTAAAAAAAAAAAATCTCAATGTAAATTATTTGAAATGTTTATATAACGAGCCCCTGTAAACGCACTAGTGAATGAGACTGTACAATCAGAGG